TGCCTGGCTTGAGGGGTTAAGGGCCGTAGTGCAAACAGAGGAGTTGAAATGATCTTGACAGATGTCTGACTCCTTGCACGTTTGTTCTTTCTCTTTAAGTTGCCAAAGTGGATTTTCAAAATCATCATTTTGGTTTTCTGGATTTTTGGAGAAAATTATCTTTCAGACAGTCTTTTTAGAAATACATTATTAGAAATGCTACTTTATAGGCTTGTTAAAACCTGAAGAACCATAAATCATTGACTAAGTAGACTCGGCTGACTATAAAGTTAGTCATTTGAAAGAATCTAATGGGGACAAATGATCCAGTGTCATCCTCTGCTTTTCCCAGGGACTGGAATCTGGGGATGAAGTTGAGATTTTTGTAAAAGAGCTCAAGTGTGGTTGCTAAACAAACTATAATAGTGTGCTGCTTTAAGGTCAAAAGAGGGAAAAGAAAGGAGAGGGCAGATCTTATTTTTGTATTGTTATAATTGTGCAGTTACTAAAGGAACATCCATTAGCAGCCTGCTAACCTCACACATACACTGTTCATATTTTTCTGTTCCTTTACCAAAATTTCCATCAGCGCACAGAATCATCACATTGTTCTAGTCATGGTAGAGATGCAACTTTGTAGTCTGCTTATGCCCTTTAGTGTATTTTCCTCCTCTCCAGCTGCTTCCTCCTCCTCCTCTCCCTCTCATCCCTGGCCTCCCTAGCTCTGATGTCTGGTTCATCTTGGGCCCATGGTTGGGCTCATGCAGACACACCTTGCTTACCTTCTTCCCTGTTACCTCCTCAAAATCAGGTCTCCTTTTTCCTAGGATCACCTTGTGATATATCTTTCAACTTTTTGCAATCACCATCTGCCTTTGTAGAATGCCTTCATGGTTTCACAAGTGATGGCCTCCTGGTGCTGCTCTCATCTTATACTTCCCCTACTCCCCAGATGCTCAGGAATGGTGGCTGCGGTGGACCCCGAGCAGTTTTGTGCTAAGTTCTGCCGGCAGAGGAGTCATCAGAGGACAGACAGGTTCCGAAGAAGATGGAAAAGATCAGAGTTGAGGCCACTCCAAGCCCCTGAGCCAGAGTCCCTGGTTCACCTCTGCATTTTGAGTCTGCCAGGGGATGCTGTATTTTAGATTGCGGCAAACTTTGAACTTTGGGTCAGTTTACTTATCTCCCTGAGTTGTATGGCTACTAAGAAATTTGGGAGATTAACTGTAAAGAAGATAACTGATATTTTTTCAAAGGGAAATGATTTTAAAATTTTGAACCAAATTAAGAAACTTAAATCAGAAGCTTTGTGTAGGTATTTGTATAGGTATAGATAAAGGAAACTTGTAGGAAAAAGCATTTAAGAGAGATTGTTCAGTAGACTGCCTTTGAATGAGAATTTTCACTTCATCTTGCGCTGGTTACCAGCTTTTAATACTTCAGAGTGCTTAGTTGGTGCTTGGCAACAGATGATGAAAATAGCGTCCAGTAAAAAGGGGCAGGTTCCTGTCCAGCATCCGCAGTGAGTTTGAGAAGCAAAGAAAAGCTTTTGCTCAGTGAAATTACCCTTTGCCTTTCAGACCTCTTCCCTCACTGCATGTCAGCCTGGTTGACAGTGTGCTCCTCAAACTTTCTTTCAGTACAGAGGAAAGAGGTGGAGCAGAATGGTAAATTTGGAGAGAGAGGATTAGGCAGCCATTGGAAAAGAGGCTTTTTGAGTAAAAGGTTTCTGGAGGGGCACCTGGCTGGTACTGTCAGTAGAGCGTGTGACTCTTGATCTCGGGGTTGTGAGTTTGAGTTCCACGTTGGGTATAGGGATTACTTTAAAAAAAACCAAAAAAAACAAAACCGTTCCTTGAGTAAAACGTTTCTGAACACAACTGGCTGTGGATAGAGTGACCGTGCCTACCAGTTCACCTCCGGTCTCTGTTTAAGCTTGCTGTCCTGGTACAATTTTGTTTTAATTGAAGTATCATTAACATAGAGCGTGACGTTAGTTTCAGATGTACGGCCTAGTGATTGGACAGTTCTGTTTGTTACTCAGTGCACAGTAAATAATGTCGCCGTCTGTCCCCATATGTTACTACAGCATTATTAACTATTTATCTAGTGTTGTACTTTTCATCTCTGTGACTGACTGACTTTAAAACCGGATGTTTGTTCTGGTATGATTATTAAAATTTGCCCCCTTTCTCTCTCAAAAATGCCTTGGTTTGGATGATAAATTATATGGTCACCCTACTGAAAATAAAATACTGATGAAATACTTTGTGTCAGGCAGCGTACGAGACACTTTATGTGATCCTGAAAGGTAGCTGCATTTGCCACCCTCCAGATAAAAAGATGCTCAGAAAGGCTAAGTAACTTGGCCGAGATCAGCCAGTGGCAGACCTGGTGAGCAAAGCAAGATCTATCAGACTTTTAAAGCTATTTAATTTTTCCCAGCCTGCTACATTAAGCATTTAATGGGTACGGGCTCCATTGATTTTTAGGATCTAGTGAAGGAATCCTGCAGTGGTAGTGAAAGCCTTTTTCTGGAAGAAACCGTGGAATGGAGAATATCTGGATAAGGACAGAGGTGATGCTTGTAGTGGGGACGCTGGCAGTGAAGGTCAGGTTGTATTTAGATCCCGGAGCTTCTGGATGCGCGTGGCCTTCAATGTCCTTAAACAACCCTGCTGCTCGGGCCTGGGTCAGTCAGCTTGGGGTGGGAAGGCTGTGGAAGTTGTATACATATATTGCTCAAACTTTCATGTGCATACACAGCAACTGGGAATCTTGTTAAAATGTAGATCATTTCTGTAGGCCTCAGGGGGGCCTGAGATTCTGCACATGTAACAAGCTCCCGGTGATACTGATATTGCTGGTCTGCCACACTGGACTCTGGGCAGCAGGAATATGGTTAGTGATTAGGTTCTCTTTGCCAGGGTCATGCGGGTAGTCGTGTACACAAAACCCTCATTTTAGAGCTTGGGGAGGGACAGTTGCTTCTAGGCCTAAGTGGCCTCACTGTGGGTAGAAGGGACTATATGGAAAGGTGGTTTGGGGAGGGGAATGGGTACTTAAATATGGATGTTTTTAAAGGTAGCATTACATTTTTGTAGTTAGTACATACAGATTATTTTTAAAGTGTACCCTTAGCTTGTGTGAAGTGGGGACATAGAGAAGCAGGAGGGAGTGTTCTGGGGTGAGGACAGCACAGCATGGTGCGGTGGTGAGCAGGGCTTTAACAAACACAGAGAGCAAGCAGAGTACCTACAGCCAGACAGGAATAACATGGATGGATGACACAGCAGCAAAGCTCTGGGGAAAAGAAAAAAGAAAAGAAAAAGAAAAAACCACCTCCAAGGGTAGGAGTCCCTCGCACGGCCTGGTCATGTCTCCCCTCGGCTATGCCTGAATGCCTCAGGGCATGAGGGGACATAGTGCAGGTGGCTCTGGCTAGCTTCTCCTGTGGCTAACAGCATCATCCCCGCCTCTGCCCACCTGGGACCCTGTCATGGGCAGTCCCAGGTGGGCCTGCTTCCTGTATCTGGTTCCTCCTTGTGGAACACAGGAGAACAAGCACTGTGGCGTGCTTCCAGCCTGGTCTAGGTGTGAGCAGCCCGCCTGCTGGGGCTGGGACTTGGCTCTGCCTTCTTTTCTGAGGGGGGAGCCTTGTGACTAGAGGTCATGATGGAAAAAGACTGATGGGGGAGAGCACGTTGGCAAAGAGGAAATGGTGGAGGTTCCACAATCTCTGGGCAGAGCTGGACTTCGTTGCTGAGCTGTGAGTGTCACAGAAGTAGGGCCTGGGTCCCGGGCAGCACCCCTGACTGAGGCATCTGTGAGCCTCCTGGCTGGCCAGTGTAGCTCTGAGTGCTCCTGGAAGGCCAGAGAAAGAGTATCAACAGAGCGGGGTGGGGGAAGCTCCTGATCTCTGACGAGGCAGAATACAACTGGGACCGTTTCTCCTCTTTCCGTCTCTCTGACAGTGTTCTAGCAGGGTCGCCCCAGTCTGTCCCTGTGGTTGCTGGAGGGTAGGGGAGCTGGACCTGACCTTTCTGCTCATGACTCACTGCCCATCCTGTTGGGGATGGGGATTGTCCTGGTCAGGGCAGAGCTTACCCTGGTGTGTGGGCTGTGGGACACACCTGAGCAGCCCACTGAGTCCCTTCCCTCTGCCACAGCTGACCCCTTTTCTCTGTGATAGACTGCTCCAGACAAGCCTGGAGCACCAGGTGGTGTTCCCCAGGGTCCAAGTGTGCCGTGTTTTTCTGAAGGTGATTCTCTTCCTCCGTGGTAAACACTGCTGTGTCAGGGTGCTGCTCAGGGCCACTTGGAGCACATAGATTTTTGCTAGCAGGATTGTGAAGCTTTGCATTGGGCTGCAAAACCAGGGCTTGAGCAAGCAGCTGGAGAGAGTCCAGGACTAGAGTGTTTTTGGGTTTGGGGGTGGAGAGCAGAGGGAGGGGAAGGGAGGGGCAGGAGGGCAGAGCTCCACAAGCAGGCAGTCGGCTGCTTTGGCTTTGCTGTCAGCAGAGAGGACTTCAGTCGTGCCTGAGGGCCGCTTGGCCACCATTGCTGGAGACCGGAGGGCGCTGCCTCGGAACCCTGACTTACCGGCACTGCACCCGGACTGTTCCAAGTAGCTGTTGTGCTGTCTTTTCCCGGGGAGGCAAGTCTCCTCCCTGTCGTCCCCTCCTGCTCCTCCCCCATTCTGTGAGGGATGATGCCGCTCTCAGTTGCACGGCTCAGCCGGCTGATGTCACTGGCAGCGGGAAGCATCAGCAGCCTGATCACATGCTGGCCCAGTCTGTAATGCAGACGGGATAGGGGTGTGTATGTGGGGAGGGGGGCTGTGTGGCAACTGCTCTTGCGCTGAGGCCCCCAAAAGTGCAGAGGCAGCGGCCGCAGCATCCAGCCAGCTTGGATGTCTGTTCCTTGGGCTTGGGGAAACTACTATTAATAATACTCATTGTTGATAATACTGGGGAAAACAGCCCTTAACTCTGGGGTTTCTGCTGTCGTCCTGTCCAAAGCAGACTTCCAGGACTCTGAAGAAACAGTTGCAAGCAGGATGCTTTTCCCCACCTCTGCGCAAGATTCTTCCCGGGGCCTCCCAGATGCAAATGACTTGTGCCTTGGCCTGCAGTCCCTCAGTCTCACAGGCTGGGACCGACCCTGGAGCACCCAGGACTCGGATTCCTCAGCCCAGAGCAGCACACACTCGGGTGAGTGCCAGGAAATGAGTTGGCTGGGGGAGGGGGACGCATGGGGTGGCGATCGAAGACATCCACAGCAACAGTTGTTCTCTTCCCCTTTGCATCACTCCCCCCCCCACCCCAATACAACATGGAGCTGTTTTGCAAGAGATGGAAATGCTGGCTGTGAGTGTGGCAGGACAGATGGTTGCTCGTAAAGGCAGGCATGGCTTTTCCACTTACCCTGATAAATTCCCTGGAGTTGTTAGTCTGCACCTGGGGTGGCCCTGAGAAGGGTCCCCAAGGTGACAGTCCTATGCAGAAAAGATCCAGCTAACCCCCTAGCGCCCAGGCCTGTCTTGGAGATGATGAAGCAAAACACTTTTAGGTGGGGGAGGGGACCTAAGGGGCTGATCACTGGATGTCCAGATTCTGTTTCTCAGTGGTTTTTCAAACTAGGGACTTGTATATGAGGATGGGTGGTCCCTGAATCATGGCAAGGGAATAATTTTAACCTCAGGTGAGTCTGGGTGACATTAAGATATTGGAATTGGCTTAACATATGGGTAAGAGCATTGAACCCTGGCAAGGGGTAGGCAGGGTCATTGGGGTGGAGTAACTCTAAGCTGCGGAGGCTTTGTTTTTCTTTGTGTGAAGGGTAACCAAATGGATGGAGAAGAGCCACTCCCCTTTAGGACCCCTTGTTGCCTTGGGAGGATTTGGTGGGGACAGATTGAAGGGGCTTCTTGGCAACCCCTTGAGCGGCTTCTGGTGAGACCTTCCCAGTGCCTGTTTATTTCCTTCTTGCGGTACATTGGGCGGGGGATGGGGGAGGGGGTGCGTAGGGTTGGCCGGACCCAAGTCTTGGAGTATTCAGGAAGAATTGGGAACTTAGGAAATATGATAGGGAACTTAAAATCCATGTGTTTTTCTTTATGTAAATTGTGTCTTAATAAAAAGAGTATCAGCAGCAGATACTTTGGGAAGATGGAAAGGTAGTGGGGGTGGGGCAGCCATTTGCTGTTGGTGCTGACCATGGGATGCACTGAGCCTGCCATCCTTCCCTCGCCTCCCCTGCTCCGGAAACTGACAGTCAAGGCAGCAAGGTGCTGTCTTGTTGATTTCTCTGGCCTCCACCCTGTTTGGCGCAGGTCTTTTTTTAGAATGCTTTGCAGAGCCTGGGACTGTTGTGTCTGTTGGCATTTTAATGGCCAGTTGTTTCAGCAAAATCCCATTTGATTGGGGGTAGGGGGCTGGATTTTTTTTTTTTTTTAATTTGATTGAGGATGGGGAAGAGCTTTGCCCTAAGTAACTACCTCCGGTTAAGGTAGAATTTCTTGAAGTACTGGCCTTGAGCTGACTCAGGTTTGTCCAGAAATGTTGGTAGGTGCCTTGTTCCCCTGGGCAAGCAAGTATGTATCCTGTGCCTGGAGATCTTGGCTCGGAGGCCATGGTCACTTCTCTTATGTGGTACTCTGAGGTCGACCTGGATGGCCTATGAAGCCGGCCTTGTCTTCAGTCCCACGGTATCTGAGCAAAAGACAGAAGAGCTCACAGAGGAGGTGGGCACCTGTCTGTGTGATCCCTGTTGGACTAAGGCACTATTTCGCTGACACCAGGTTGGGGCGTGGCCCTTCTTTGGCTCTGGTCTGTCTTAGCTGCAGGGGTCCTTTTGAAAAGTATTATAGCACATAGAATTGCAAGAGGACCCAGCTGGGCCTTGGAGAACATGGCCTGAAAGTCACTGTGAAATTGGGCTGTAAAAAATAGCTTGGACACAACCAAAATTTCTCTGGCTTCCCTGCTACTGAATGTCCTGTGCTTACGGCTATTTGTCTCCAAAGTGGGGATTGATTTATTTCTCCACCTTTCATCTCAGGCACTTTAGTGATAAATATTACATGATTCTGTGGATCAGGGAGGGACTGCACTCTGTGGCCCTAGCATTCACAGGGACCAGAGGGCTGCCCCAGTGGTATGATCTGGCTGTGGGCAGGGTTGGTGTGGCTCTGTCTTCCTTTCTGAGGGTTAAGGACACACTCATCCCTGACATCCGTGATGTCCTTGAGTTCTGAAGCTTTGGTGATGGCCACCCTCTTCTTCGTCTGAGCTCGGGGCCTTCTTGGAAAGCCCACATGAGGGTACCGCCTGCTGGAGTAGGAAGTAGGCCTCCCACCAGCCAGCTGCAGGGCCAGATTGGACACCCTTGCCAGCAATGTGGGAACATGCAGCCCACATTCCAGTGCCTTCACTGCCTTCCCATCTGAAGACCAACTAGCTCACTTTCTTCAGCGGGGAGGAGGTATTTCAACAGCTCTGGACAGTCCGGGAGTTATCCTCACAGCATGGTACTGGGCTGTCTGTGTGGAGCTCAAGGTGCACTCTTATTCCTTGGGCTCTGCTTGGTGATACATTGCCCCAGGTAGCTATGGCTTTACGTTTGACCATCTTCTGCCACTTTTAAGTATTTAGCAATGTTGGGGGCAAGGGTAGAGATGGCAGGGCTTTTGCTTGAATAAATTTAGCCAAGACTATCAGTCATTGAGCCCTAGCTGTGTGCCAGGTACTAGGTTATTCATCAGTGAATAAAATCCCCATGACTCTCAAGGGAAAAGCGGTGAGAAGGCATATCAAACGCAGCATGGTATTTGCTATGATGGGTGCTTCTGTTTTCTCCCCTAAGTGTTTTGGGGTGTTTTTTTGTTTGTTTTTGTTTGTTTTGGTGTAGGGACAACCTTTCATTGGGTTCTCAGCATGAGGCTGGAACATGGAGACCTTTCTGAAGGGACTAGGGTCCTTCTGCTGCATGGGTTCCATCGGCCTCAGAGGCCTGTTTGAAGACGCTGGAGTGGAATCTGGTTTTGAGATTTGTGTCCACAAGGCCAGTATTCGTTTGGATATGGTACTTTGTGGGGTCCCGCTCTCTAGACTCTGCCTGCCCTGAGGCCTCGCCTCTTGCTGGGAAGGAAGCCCTTTTACTGTTAGAAGTGGGTGTTTCCCTTAGACCCCAGGTCTTGTGTCCAGCACTACCTTTGTCTTCCTGGCAGTGTCTTAAGTCCTGTATTGGAACAGCAGGGCTCTGAAAGCTGTCCTCAATAGCTCAGGATGGGGGATGGAATGACAAAAACCACTAGTTACTGACTGCTTTCTACGTGAAGTCCATCACGTGATTTTAATGCTTGCACAGTCCTGTGAAGTGTGTACATTTGTTGTAAAGATGAGGAGGTAGGCTCACAAAGGTTGTGAAGTACCAGAAATCCCACAACTGCCAGAATTCTACCCAGGTCTCTTTGTTCCAAAACTCTTGTGCTTTCTGTTACATCCGTGTTCCTGTAAGCAGAACTCTAAAATGTTGGACAAGAACACTTCTGTTAAGGTGTCTCCACATACAGCTCCGGGGCTGTCTGACCAGAGGTGGTGTGTTCCCTTGCTGAGGCCCCTCAAGGACAGGGTGTGCAGTGGACCGTCCTGACTCCCCTCCACCTGAGTCTGCTCATCAGCAGCACCACCGGCTGGATCGGTCGTCCTGACTCCCCCCTGGGGACTCTTGCATACAGCATTACTCAGCAGGAAGGGGGGTGACTGAGAATCTACTTTCGGGGGGCCTGGAAGCCAGGGACTCCTAATGAATGCCTTGTACTGAAGCCCAGCGGGTAGACCAGATGCTCAGTCTGAGGATGCCAGAGGCCATGTCTTGTTTTTTCCTACTGTCCTATAGAAGGCCCCTCAGGGATTAACCAGTCAACCTTCTCTGGTTTGTTCCCTGACTGCTAACCAACCAGTCAGGTTATGTATTACTTGCAGGCTCCCCATTGGTGGGCAGGCTGGATCAGCTTTTGCTTCTGCTACTGCTGCCCTTCCAAACAGCCTTTCTGAGGTGACATTCAAAACACAGTTGGGCTCTCGTCCGTAGAACACGGACTTACTTCCTGGACCCGATCAAGTTGTGCAGATCTGACTCCATTATCCAGGTTGTCCTGCTCTATCCCCAGCATGCAGCACGGTGCCTGGTTCATGGCTTTTTATAAGGATCTGTTGAATGAACGATGAATGCCAAGCCCCCATGTTGTTAATCCTGGGTAGTTTTAACTGTAGAATTCTGTCAAGGTCTCTCTTATTCTTCTGCCTCCTACTTGTTTTGATCAGCTGGATGGATAGATTTCTTCAAAGATCAGTATCTCTGAACCTCCATAGCTTCTAAGGCATGAAGACGCATTTACAGAAAATTTTGTCATACACTGGAACGTGAATTCTGTCATGGAGTCAGGTAGCCTACTGAGGGATAGCTTTCTGTGCAGAGAGGAGGGAGGGCCTGGGAAGCAGTAAACAATAGGGTGCCTCCTAGGTGAGAAGTAAGTTGGGTAGGAGAGCATGTGTGCCGACCTAACGTAGGACTTGGGTATGTCATTCCCATTAAGGGAATTTGTCCAGTGAGCAGGACAGGGGAGAAGGGCTATATTGGGTACCACCTTGGACCTGTGGGATCCACAGTCGGTGGAGGCAGTTGACACTCAGAAGACTGCCACCTGAGTTGAGGTATGGTGGAGAGTCGAGGTACGGTGGAGAGTCGAGGTACGGTGGAGAGTCGAGGTACGGTGGAGAGTCGGGGTACGGTGGAGAGTCGGGGTACGGTGGAGAGTCAGGGTATGGTGGAGAGTCAGGGTATGGTGGAGAGTCGGAGTGCGGTGGAGAGTCGGGGTGCGGTGGAGAGTCGAGGTAGGGTGCAGAGTTGGGGTGTGATGGAGAGTTGGGGTAGGGTGCAGAGTTGGGGTGCGGCGGAGAGTTGGGGTAGGGTGCAGAGTTGGGGTGTGGCGGAGAGTTGGGGTAGGGTGCAGAGTTGGGGTGTGGTGCAGAGCTGGGGTGTGGTGGAGAGTTGGGGTAGGGTGCAGAGTTGGGGTGCGGTGGAGAGTTGGGGTGTGGTGGAGAGTTGGGGTAGGGTGCAGAGTTGGGGTGCGGTGGAGAGTTGGGGTAGG